CCTCTATGAGGTGGATTGATTCAGTGACTGGGATAATCGGGATGGGAGTGCCAGAGACATTGCGATTGGCACAGGATAGAGCAGAGTTTGCTGTTGTACATAGGGTTGCTGTGAGTCGCAAGTGACTAGACAGCACAAAACAAAAACAATAACAGCCATGCTCACCAATATATGTCTGGAAACTTCTTTGACAGCTGCCTGGTTGACTGACTGAAAAAGAAAGTTATTTCTTCCCATTCTCAAGTAAAATCATCCAAGAAAATGTGGAAATTATCAAGCAATATCATTAATGTCACATACAAGCAAAATACTCCTGAAAATAATTTAAAAAAAAACAGGTAGAATAGTACATAGAGAAGTGTCAAAATTTAAAGTTAGTTTTAGAAGAGGTCAAGGTATTAGGGATATCATCACTTATGTCAGATGAATCCTGGATGAAAGAAGAGAATATCGGAGGATTATCTATTTGTGCTTTATGGAGTATGAAAAGCCATTTGATTGTGTGGATCATAACAAGTTATAGCAAACATTGAGAAGAATGAGAGTCCCAGAACACTTAATTGTGCCGATATGAAACCTATACCTAAACCAAGAAGCTGTTGTGCACAGCAAGGGGATACAATGTGATTCAAAATTAAGAAAGATGTATAAAGGTTGTATACTTTCTCCATATCTATTCAATTTGTGTGCTGATAAATTATTTTAAAAATGAACTCTATGAAGAAGAGTCCTCTCCAGAGTACTTAAGAGCAATATTGTCAGTCTAGAGATTAAGGTTTGCCTGATTCAGGCTATTGTTTTTGCAATTACTTGTGCATCAGAGAGCTGGAAAATTACTAAGGGTAATAGAAGAAGAGTCAATGCCTTTGAGTTGTGGTGCTGGAGAAGTGTATTGAATATACCATGGAATGCTAAAGAAACAAAAAGGTCTTTCCCGGAGAAGGTAAAACCAGGATGCTCCTTGGAAGCAAGGGTTATAAAACTCCATCTCACATACTTTGGGCATGTTTCCAGGAGGACTAGTCTTTGAAGAAGTACATCATGCTCGGAAGGGTGGAGGGACAGCTTTAGACAGGAAAACCTTGGGTGGGATAGATTGACTCAGTGACTGGGGTCATAGGCAACAAAATTGGCTCAAGATAGATCAGGGTTCAAAACTGTTGTATATAGTGTCACTATGAGTCAGAGCTGACTTAACAGCATACAACAACAATAACAATATTAGCTGTACATGAGTTGAGAGCACCTAACAACAACAGAGGCTCTGTGGGGTGAATTGCTTTTGCAAAGATTACACATAAGAAAATTCCTACAGAGTAGTTCTATTCTGGTACTTGGGAATGCTTTGAATTATGGCCATCTCTGTCAGCTAACAACATGGTAATATACAGCAAGAGTGAAGATGTTTTTACTTAAAGTTCTCACTTTACATATTCATGTGCACATACAATTATACATAGATTCAAGTTATCAATGTAGCAAGCATTTACTTAGTGCCAACAACCTATCAGTTACTCTGCTAAATTCTGAAGAGATTTCAGGAACAATTTCTTTCCTAGAGCTTAAAAGACTAATCAGTTGCCTTTGTTATTACTGAAGGAAAAGTCTTAACTAATTAACTAGTAAATTTTATTATCAGTCAAATGTTGTATTTTTATTTCAAAATTTGTGTGCTATCTGTATGTAACTTTCTTTTTTTTGAGTCTTATAAGATAGAACAAATACTTTCACTTTTCATTCTTTTGTAATATAATCTTTTGATCTGAATTATCTTTCTTCCTTTAAATGTGCCAATAAATGGTTCTCAAATCTTTTATCTTTCAAAAATGACATTTTTTCCCAAGTGTACAAATAAACACATCCTGTACTTAATTCCATTGATATGTAGCATGTAGTGCCCATTCTTTCTCTACAGATATGTGAGGACAAATGCCACCTTAAATTTCTATGGTTGTCTCTTCCTATAAATTTATTACCTCTGGATTTTAAGTGCATGTTATTTTAAAATAAAATTCTATGGTGACTCTCTACTTCTTGATCTTTATCTTCTGTTTTATTATTGTTTATTTATTTATCACAGCTGACCCTCCAGTAGGTTTTCAGAAGCCACAAATTGCATGAGAGTAGAGTGTCCCTCCTCCTCCTTTGAAGCAAATGGTGGATTTAAACAGCCTGATTTAGGGTTGATAGGGCAAGGATTATGAAACTCTATTTCGCATACTTCCTAAATCCCAGCATTGTATATTATGAGATAAAATAGCCAATATCAGTCCATCTTAATTCCCTAATGCCTCAGATACTGATATTTGTGTGTTCTATTTCATTTTTTGTTAAAGTGTCAATATTCTTTGATTCATACTTAGCACATTTCCCATTTCAATGTTATTATTTTGAGTCTTGACACATTATAAAATAAAGTTTCTTTACTGGTGAAAGCTTCACTTCATCTATATTATTAAGGTTGTCTATTTTTGAAAATGCAGCCCTGCAAAGACTTTGCAGGCTGCGAGGTGGCAGTACTGTGGGGAGCCTGATGAGAGCCAGAAAGCTGTATTGGTGCAGTTCTCCAACGGGAAGCTGCAGAACCCAGGCAACATGCGCTTTACCTTGTACAAGAATAAAGACTCCACCAACCCCAGGAAGAAGAATCATCGGATCGTGGCAGCTGAAACAGACAGACTTTCCTATGTGGGGAACAATTTTGGGACTGGAGCCCTCAAATGCAACACTTTGTGCAGGCACTTTGTGGGAGTTTTGAACAAGACCTCTGGCCAAATGGAAGTATATGATGCCGAATTGTTCAATATGCAGCCACTATTTTCAGATGAATCCATTGACATTGAACTGCCATCACAGAGTCAAGCCAAAACTTACAGAGAAAAGTTGGACTCTTGCATTGAAGCCTTCGGTACCACCAAGCAGAAGCGAGCTCTGAACTCCAGAAGAATGAACAAAGTTGGCAATGAGTCTTTGAATCTTGCAGTGACTAAAGCTGCCGAGAATATCATTGATACAAAGGGGGTGACCGCTCTGGTCAACGATGCCATCCACGATGACTTGCAAGATGATTCCCTCTACCTTCCTCCCTGCTATGCTGATGCAGCCAAGCTTGAAGACGTGTATAAATTTGAAGATCTTCTTTCCCCCGTGGAGTATGAAGCTCTTAAAAACCCATCTGAAGCTTTTAGAAATGTCACATCAGAGGAAATTCTGAATATGATTAAAGAGAACAGCCACTGCTCCTTTGTCACTAAAGCACTGAAATCCTTGCCGTCAGATGTGGAGAGCCGAGACCACCAGGCCCGATGCATCTGGTTCCTGGACACACTTATCAGATTTCGAGCTCAAAAAGTGATTAAGCGGAAAAGTGCCTTGGGACCTGGAATTCCGCATATCATCAACATGAAACTCCTGAAGCATTTCACCTGCTTAACTTACAACAATGGCAGCTTACGAAACTTAATATCGGATTCAATGAAGGCAAAGATTACAGCATATGCGATCATACTTGCCTTGCATATAAGTAATTTCCAGGTTGACCTGACGATGTTACAAAGGGACCTGAAACTCAGTGAGAAAAGGATAATTGAGATAGCAAAAGCTCTACGGCTGAAGATCTCGAAAATAAGGGTGTCTGCAGCAGATGGCGGCGACGAGGATCACAGACTGGGCACCCTGTCCATCCCACTGCCGCCAGCACAGACTTCGGAACACCAGTCAAAGAGGAGAAGAGTCAAGTAGCCATCTGCTTTCCACAGAGCATTTTGGCCACCAGGTCATAGCCACTACTTCCACTTTATTGCCTCTTTTTTCTTTAAAGAGAGGTAAAAAGGAGCCTTGCTTTGGTGGTTTGAAGCCAGAAGCCAGCATTTGGCACACGCTTTCTGTTTTAAATGGAAATACAATGATGGCCAGAATGGGAAAAAAAAAAAAAAGAAAAAAGAAAATGCAGCCCTACCCCCAATTATTTACATGTTTTCCAACCAAAATATTCTATCTCTTGGCACTATATCCAAAAATTTTATACTTTATTTTTAGAGTCTTACTTTACTCTGAAAGCTCTTCTGAAACCTACCCACCATGTTTGACCCGATGATATTCGAAATACCAATAACATAGTGTCAAGCATCATAGAAACACACAGACCACAATAGTACGGCAAACAGAGATGAGAGATGAATCTTCAGATTATGTGAGAATAAGTTAGATAGAGTTAGACTTTAAATGTTTAAAATATTTATATAGAAAATATCCAGATTATTAATTGTCACACATATTATTCTTTTTCTATTCTCCCCCTCTCCATCCTATTGCTATAAAATGCCCTTGTGCAATATTTGCTTTTTGTGACTGAGATATTTCACTCAGCATTATGTCTTTTATACTCATCCATATTGTGTAGTGTTTTACAAGTTCATTGTTTTTAAATACTGCCTAGTGTTTTACTGTGCTGATGTTCTAGTTTCTCTATCCATTGGTTTGTTGATGGGCACTTGGGTTGCTTCCATCACTTTGCTATTGTAAACAATGTTACAGTAAAAAGGGTTTACATCCATCTTTTCGTGCCACAGGTCTGAATTATTTGGAATATATTCCCAGTAGTGGGTCAGCTGGGTCAAAGATATGTCTACTTTCAACTTTTTGAGCAAGAATCAAACTGCCTTACACAGCGGTTGTACCATTTTACACTCTCTTCAGCAGTGCAGTGGAAATATGAGAGTGGGAAGTATGAGTGTTCTAATCTCTTTACATCCTAGCCAACATTTTTTGTTGCAATGCTGTTCACTGCTTTGTTGAACTATGCTATTGTTGTTGGTGTGAGATTATCTCTCATTACTGTTTTGATTTGCACCTCTCAAATAGTATCTAGTGATGTGGAACATTTTTTTAAAATGTGTTTGCTGGCCATTTGACTTTGATTTTGCTCATTTTGTGATGGTACTTTCTGTTGTTGTTCATTATGATGCATTGGAATATTCTATAAATTTTAAATATGAGTCTCTTGAATTGGAGGATGAGTAGGGAGGAAAATATGTACACATGAATGAAAACCAATTTCTTTGTAAACTTCACTAAAATCACAATTTAAAAAACAATAATAAATAACAAGTCCCGTGGTTTTATAAGCTTGTTTGAATCTGTGCATTAAGAGGGAAGGATACATTTATATTAATCATGAAATTGATCAATTAACTTAATTCTTTAATATTAATTTTATTTTCATTTTATATCAAGCATTGTGCCAAATATTGGAAACATAAATCTTTTTTTTCT